TTATTTGTAATAGTGAATCAGATTTCCCATTGCTTCACCCTTCCAGCTCCCTCCTCCCAGGTTTCTCCCGCTCCTCTCCCACCCTCTCTCTTCCCCTCTCCCACCTCCTTTTCCCAGTCTCACCAGAGGTTCATCCCCCCCAGTTTTGTTCAATAAACCCAGTTTCTATTTTTGAACATACGTATCTTTTGTTTGACATCAGGAAGGGGGGCTAGGGAGGGGTAAGTGGAAGGATGTGAGGGAGGAATGGGGCATGAGCCCCTGGTGGGGAGGACCGGGGTGGCTCTGAGGGCTCCTCGGGGTGGACGCTCTCCTGCAGGACCTCCTAGATTCTGACAGCACCCCGATGGACCCCCCGGATGGCAGCCTGCAGCAAGTGCAGCCGGCCTGATGGCGACGACCCCATGAGATGCACCAGCGGGCCCTGGGGCAACTCTGGCTCCATGTGGCTGAGTGCTGTGGTGTCCCGAGTGTGGGCACTCAGGGCACTCCAAGACAGGACTGCTTTGCTGTCCTTCATCGAGGTAGACAAGCAAGCAGGGAACTCTGAGAACTTTCTGTCCGGGGTGGGGGCAGGGCCCCTTTAAGCACGGAGCTCAGTGAGCCTCAGGCAGCAGCCCCACATACTAAGTCCTAACCTGATGCCCTGCTGGCACTGGTTCTGGCCAGCCTTAACTTTGGTTCAGGGTCCACTCAGTATGGACGCGCTATTTTGAAATAGGTTTTGTGTATAGATGCGTTATTTTGAATTAGCTTAATTCAAATTAACTATTTTGGATTAAGTTAACTTGAATTAACGCCGTAGCGTAGACATACTCTTACCTCACACCAGTATATTTTAGAACAGCTCTGTGCTTACTGGCTCTATGGCACACAGAGTTGCTCTATGTATAGATGCGTTATTTTGAATTAGCTTAATTCAAATTAACTATTTTGGATTAAGTTAACTTGAATTAACGCCGTAGCGTAGACATACTCTTACCTCACACCAGTATATTTTAGAACAGCTCTGTGCTTACTGGCTCTATGGCACACAGAGTTGCTCTACCCTTGCAAGGGGGCCAGGATAGCCCTCTGCTGATAGCAGAATGCATCCACTGTAGCCATTTTCTGCACCCAACCCAAACAGCACATATCACGAACTTGGACACCAGTGATAAGAAGGAAACACGAACACCCTTTCCAAATGATGGGAAGGGCAAGGTCCAAAAATGGACACCAGGCACATTTCCCATGACCCAGTGCAAGGAACTAGTGCCTATTTATTCACAGCTAAAGGACTTTCCAACTTTTTCCTTTGTCTCAGAAGAGCATGCTGCTATTCAGTTTAGGAATGTTAAATATAGATTAATCAGCTAATTGAGTACAATTGCATCAACTATTTGATTAGTTGATAAGAGTGCCTTTGCCTTTGAAGTGTAGCAATAGTACACTTCAAAGGTGAAAGTGCTGTGGGGAGCACGGGGCCAGCACTGGCCCCATGCTCCCTGCAGCGTTTCAAAGCGGCAGCACCAATATGGAGCCGAGGGTTAGCAGGGAAGTCCCCAGCTGACCCCGGGCTCCACTCAGTGCTGCCACTTTTAAGCCCCCCTTCTCCTCCTCTCCCCACTGCCTCTTTCTGATAAAGGCAGCAAGGGGGGGGGGGGAGCGAGTAGTCGACTAGTGTGTTGACTATCCGATAAGCATTTGCTTATAAGATAGTCGATTAGTTGTTCACATCCCTAATTTAGCTGGCATCTTACTTTACATTCAGAATATCAAGTACTAATCTCATCGCTCAAAAACCATTGCAGGACACAGCATCAGAGGAGCAAACACTAATGCTAGCTTACTCTGGTGAGCCCCTTCCTAGCATGAAGGAACAGGTCTGCTCTATCTGGGATAAGACATTGGGTTAAGTCTGCTCCAAGGCACCCCAACCTGTGTCCTAAGTAGAAGAGCTTAAGGGGCTTTGCTGAGCAGATCATATCAAACCATTAGAGAAGGAACAACTTTGGCCTAGAATTGTTAAGGGCTTTACACTGAGTTCAGTTTCCAGTAGCTCAGTGTTTCTGTGCCCCATTCTGACAAAGGACATATGCCAAATACTGGAGTGTGGGCAGGTCAAACCAGGCCACTAAACAGCCCCTTCCTTCAAACTGACCACAACCAGGTATGACAAACTGTTACCTTTTTAGGAGCGACGGGTGTTTTCAGTTCCTGCTTTTGTCTGTCTTTTTCCTGTATTCCAGGTGGCGGCACATTCTGCTCAGGAGGTCTGATTACAGGACGCCCACCCTCCATTGGTTTCATTTCTGTTCCTGAAACAACACCGTAAGGATAAAAAAAATATTCCTGCAACTGTCTGAGTTTTCTAGCACATTCAGGGAACAATCTTGCCCTTTTATTTCCCACTGTAGAGGGCAGGCTAATAGTCCAAAGTGTAGACTCAGGCTTTCACAGTGATGATCAGTCCATTTTTTCTTCTCAGCCTTCAAAGGGAAACAGATTAGCTTATGTTACACCCAGAACACACATTTCAACACTAACAAGAACAGGGGTTCCAACTCACTTTGCTGGATATGTGCTGGCGGTTTGATGCTCTCTGGGTGCTTGGGAGGTTCTTGTCGCAATGTGGGGCTGAAGGTTTCATTTCGAATGACCGGTGAATGCATCTTCTCTTCCTTTGCTGCCATAGGCTGGGATTGCACAACAGAGGGTGCTCTCAGCTCCTGCCATGTTAACACATTGAGATGGGTCAGTCATCATCCAAACACCTTCCTTGATGTAACTCCATCCCACAGCCACAGAGTCAATAGCATCCTGAACAGTCCACCATGAAGGTCCCACAATAGGACTCGCCTAGCCTCTGATGCATTCTTATGGAGTGTCCACTGCTGTGGGCATGTGCTCACGCTACCCACACAGGTTGGGAACCTTGTGCTTTGACAGGAAGCCCTTGGGACCCCACGTTCAGACTAAGCGTTCTTTTACCTGTTTTTTCGGCTGGATATTTTGCTGAGGTGGTGACTGGTGGCCCAGACCTTGGAACTGGGGCATCTGCGGGGAATGCATCATGAGAGGGGAAGGCGCATCTCTCAAGTGACCTGGAACAAGTCAGCACCAGTCAGTTAACTATCACTAATCCAAACATTAACCAAGGTGAGAACTCTTTCCTGAGTCAGACTGAGCAACACACTGCTCCACAGGGCTGATGCTGTCTGCAGGCTGAGTTTAACCTAATCACCCCTTGCAAACATAGGAAGACTCCACGCCAGTTTGGCAGTTTCTGTAGTCTAGTCCAACCTCAGTACTTTCAGCTGTCTCATCGGCTGCACTACCACCAATTTAGAAGCAACTTTAGAACTATGTCACCCAGAGTAGCACACAAACAACCATACACTTACTTGTATCTACTTAACTGTTCTACATAAGTCTGCCAGACTTGCATGGAGAGGTATTTAGATAGGGGAACCTCCCCTCCAGCCTTCTTATTGTCCAGTGTTAGGGCAATGCCATGCTTGTCAGAGGCACATTCACAATGCACAAAGGCTGTAGGTGGCTGGACAGTGGCAAGAGAAAAGGATTTTGGTACATTTGGCTATGAAGCCTATGGACTTATTCTGGGGAATGGGAAAAAACAGTTACCTATCTCTTGTAACTTCAGTCAGGGGGTAGCCAAGTTAGTCTGTATAGGAAAAAACAACAAATGGTCTGGTAGCACTTTACAGACTAACAAAACATGCAGAAAAGCTCAGGTCATCTGAAGAAGTGGGCTGTGCCCACGAAAGCTCATGATACCAGCTACATGTTTTGTTAGTCTATAAAGTGCTACCAGACCATTGTTGTTTTTTCTCTTGTAACTTGTTCTTCGAGATGTGTTGCTCATGTCCATTCCATGCAGGTGTGTGCACACTGCTCGTTGGAAGGATTTTCCCTCAACAGTACCTTTTGGGCCAGTGGGGGAGCCCCCGGGAGTGGCACCCATATATCGGTGCATGTGTACCCCTGCTGGCCCTCCACCCTCTCAGTTCCTTCTTGCCAGAATTGGACATGAGCAGCACATCTCAAAGAACAACTGTCAGGAGAAGTGAGTAATCATTTTTTGTTCTTCAAGTGATTGCTCATGTCCATTCCATGTAGGTGACTCCATGTAGGTGACTCCAAGCAGAACCCTTGGAGATGGGATCAGAAGTTTCCATTGAAAGTTAATGGAGTACTGCCCTACATCATCCCTGGCCTGGTGCATTAAGGCGTAATGGTTACCAAGGAGTGTACGGAGAATCAGGTGACCTTCCTACAAATGTCCATTTATATGCGCCTGAGCAACAAAAGTGGCAAGAGGAGGCCTGGCCCTAGTGGAGTGGGCTGTCAGGGGCAGGGCTGGTAGCCAGGCCAAATTGTAGCAAGCCTTAATACAGGAAGTGATCCATGATGAGAAACGGTGGATTGAAACAGAGGCCCATCATTCTCTCAGCTACTGCAATGAAGAGCTGGGGGGATTTACGAAAGGGCTTTCTTCTAAATAAAAAGCTAAAACTCTCTGTATAGCTAATGTGCGTAGAACTTGTTCTTTACCAGAAGTGTGCAGTTTGGGGTAAAACAAGGGGGAAAAAATATCTCAACATGAAACTTGGCAGGAAAGTAGGGGGACGATGGAGCCTGACCTTATCCTTAAAGAAAATGGTGTGTGGGGGTGGTCTGACGTAAGGACCCTAAGTTCAGACATCTGTGTAGCTGACGTAATGGCCACCAAAAAGGACACTTTCCATAATAGGTGCAACAGCAAACAGGTTGCTAGAGGCTAGAAGGGGGAACCAGAGAGCTTGGTGAGGACCAAATTGAGATCCCACAGGAGAACTGGTTGGCAGACATGTGGATATAGTGTGTCCAGACCCCTCAAAAAAAGGGCAATTTGTCCTGAAAGTCCAAGTGAGAGGCAGAGAACTGCCAGGTGTACTTTGACTGAGGACAAAAACAGTCCCTGAACCCTTAGGGCCAGAAGGTAATTGAGGACAGAGGGGCCAGGGGCATCCATTGGCAAGACTCCCCTTTGTCCTGCTCAGAGGGAAAGGCGTGTGCACTTCTCCAAATATGTGGCTCTAGTAGAAAGTTTCCTAATGCCCAACAGGACCCTTTTAACCTGCTCTGAGCACTGACGTTCTAGCACTGTCAGCCATGGAGCTTCCAGGCTATGAGGTGCAAGGACTGCAGGTTTGTGTGGCAAAACCTGCTATGGTCCTGGTATGACGGGGTGAGGCAACCCCGCCACTACACCCAACAGGGGGGCGGGACGCTGGAGGGGCATGCGCTTGCACTGCGTGGGCGGCGACAATGCAGGCGCTGGCAAGCACTTACGGGGAGGGGGCTGACACACGCAGCGCAGGGACCTGGCAGACAGAGGCCGGGGAAGTCTCTGGGCACCACGCCCTGCCGGTTGCGGCGTGTGACGTCACCAGCGGGGTGGCCAGGGCATCTGACATCACCCACCAGGCAAAGAGGAGGGGAGGCGGATAAAAGTGGGTGGGAGGACAGACAGGGGGTGGAAGACAGAGGTAGGAGGTAATGGGCCAAAAGGGGGTGATGGTGCGGGGGGATCCACCTGAGCGGAGCCGAGAGGGGCTCCGGTGGCAGGGTTGAACTCTGGCTCAGGACGGGGTCGCGAAACCCGCGAGCAGGTGAGTTTAGGGGTAAACCCCCGCCTGCTACCGGAGCCGAGAGGGGCTCCGGTGGCAGGGTTGAACTCTGGCTCAGGACGGGGTCGCGAAACCCGCGAGCAGGTGAGTTTAGGGGTAAACCCCCGCCTGCTACCACAGGGAGCACAGGCTGGGGTCCGGGAGAGTGGGTGGGCCCAGACCCCCCTCCCTGTCGCCAGGAGGCAACCTAAGAACTGCAGTCGGAGACAAAACTTGCTGGCGCCTTGGTACCTCGTGGCGTAGGCACAGAGGACGGGGCGAGTAATACGGAGCAACACGGGTGTTATAGACTAATAAAACAACTGTGTGGAACGGACAAACGAATGCAGACTTGTGACACCTGGGTTATCAGGTACAGCAGGAGGGCCACTGGCCGCTCTACTGAGAGGCTTGAAGAGATGTGAACCAGTGTTGCCGTGGCCACGCCAGAGCTACCATGATTAGAGAGGACCTGAATTTTCTGACTTTGAGGATCACCTTGTGGACCAGAGGGGAAGGAGGGAACGCACACAGAAGGCGGTAGGGCCAGGGAATGAAGAGATCCCAGGCTGTAGTTCATGAAGGAGCAGAAATGTGTACACTTCCTGTTCCTGCAGATCGCAAATAACTCTAGGTGGGGAAACCCCCATCTTTGGAAGATGCGGAGGATGACATCCATTCTGAGGGACCATTTGTGACTTGAAAAGGACCTGCTGAGGTGGTCTGCCAGGGTGCTCTGAGACCCCGAGAGTTAAGAGGCCACCAGATGAATGCCCTATACTATGCATAAATCCCAAAGAAGGAGGGTTTGCTGACACAAAACATCACAGCCATGTTGTCTGACAGAACCAGAACACACCTGTCCTGCAACTCGGGGAGGCACACCCGACAAGCAAGGCAATCTGTCCTCAGTTCTCTGATGTTTATGTGCAGACAGAGCTCAGACTGGGACCACACACCTTGTGTCCTCAGGCTCCCAATGTGGGCTCCTCAGCTGGTGTCAGAGGCATCCGTCACAAGCCAGATTGATAGTAGGGGCCAGGAAAATGGGACCCTGGAGCAGACCACATCCTGCTGGAACTATCACCACCATGTCCAGGGGCTGGTAGGCTGGGTTATGCTCTTGAGCTAACCACAGCTGTAAAGGGCAAAGTTGGGAGCCTGGTGTGCTGCATTGCATACGTGCTTGACACTATAAAACTGAGGAACCTCATACAGCTCCTGGAGGTGGTCATAAGGGAGGCCCACAGGTTTCCTTGATGGTTAGAAACCGAGTCCTGGATAGAGAGGCTGTGGCTACTCTAGAGTCTAGGAGGGCACCCACGGACTCTATTCTTTGAGTCGGGACCAGGGTGGACTTAAGTTGGTCTCGTTCAGGAGGAGGCCCAGATCTAGAAATACTTCCAAAAACAGGGATATATGCTCCAGGACTTGAGTGAGAGAGATCCCCTGTACAAGCCATTCATCCAGATGGGAGTAAACCTGAACTCTCCACTTCAGGAGGAAAGCAGCCACCACCACCATGCATTTGGTAAAAACTCTGGGGGCTGTAGACAGGCTGAATGGGAGTGCGGTAAACTGGTAATGGTCCTGGCCCACCATGAAGAGGAGAAAATGCCTTGTGGGCTGGGGTGATCGATTTATGGAAAAATGTCTCTTTTAGGTCAAGGGCAACGTATGAGTCTCCCATAGTGAAGGAAGGGATGATCGATGCCGTCACCATTTTAAACTTCATCTTGACAATGAAAACGCTGAGGTCCATGAAGTCCAAAATGGGAAAGTAATGGGAGTAGAAACCCTTGCCTCTGAACTCTATGGGAACCACTTCCACTGCTCTTAAATCAAGGAGCTGCTGCACCTCCTTGCGTAAGAGATGCTCGTGAGAGGGATCACTGAAGATGGCTGGGGAAGGGAGATGGGAAGGAGGCTGGGATAGGAATGGGATAGACTATCCATTTTCCACTGTGCCCAGGACCCAACTGTGCATTGTTGTGCCAACCAGGCATGGTGAAAAAAATGGGACAGACTGACAAGGAAGGGGTATATATACCAAGGAACTTGAGAGTAATCATTGAGTCCTTTAGCCCATGCAGATGGTTGTCATTCTGTTCAAAAAACAGGACCGTCCCCTTAAAAGGGAAGGCCCTGAATAGTGGTCTGCAGTTCTGGGGGAATACTGAAGACCTGAAGCCAGGAACCATGGTGTAGGACCAGTCCAGTAGCCATAGTATGGGCGGCTGTGTCGGGGGCTGCCTGCAGGGCTGCATGAGAAATGACCCTACTCTCCTCTGACGACTTTAAACTCCTGCCGTGAGTCCTGAGGCACCAGGTCCCTAAATTTGTCCATGGCTGACCAGGTGTTATAGGCATAGCGGATCAGGAGATCCGCTATGCCT